GTAAAGTGTAAAAACTTAAGGAAAAATTTCAAGGCTAGAATAATTGTTTGAATCTAGAAAATGGCCCTGAGTCACTATTCTTAATTAACACATTACTGCTCCAATAGACCAAATGGCACAGTTTTAGAGTAGTATTTTGTATTTACTGTTGTGTTTATATAAGTATCATCCTTAAGGATTATATAAGTATAATCCTTAAAAAGGATTAAAATAGTGCATCAAGAATAGTTTTAATTTTGTAATACAAACGTTATTTGCATTTCCCCTTACCCATTGTGACATTAAATTTAGTAACTGAATTTTGTTTCAAGTAATTATTTGACTGAATTAAATTTCAAATTCTCCTTAGAGTAACAGGAAAGAATAAGTTACCATTCAAAACATTTATCTCATCTCAACTATCATCTTACTGTTTCAAAAGCAAACTATCAAAATATTTACAAAAAGACTACATTACTGTACGGGAATTGTACCCCAAAAAGTACATTTATTGTGACTATTATTATGAGTGTATTAATTTCCCACAATGAAAATACTCCCCTTAGGTTTTTACTGCATCCTTAAACATCTTATTGGGACCTAAAGTTTTAATTATTTATTTTATGCTTTTGAGCATAAGGTTGAGCTCGCAGGGAAAGGGTAGACCCCTATTCAATAAAGAGTTATTGAACTTCTGTTTTCATGTTCCATTTTAAAATTGTTTTCCCCTCAATAACTTTTGATTTAGATTAAGAAGTTCCAGAATCCAGAGATTACATCTTTTTTCCTATTTGCCCTTCATCCAGAATTTCCTAGAGAATTGAAAACTTAATAATACTTTAGAGAATGCAGAGAACATAATATCTATATGCAAACTGTTTTCATAATAAATCCTCACCTGAAAAGGCCTTACTTATTTCCCTCAAGCCCCTGCTCTTTTACTAAGTCTACTCAATTCTTTTTTTTTCCACATTTCCAAGAAATTATCACTGGCGAGAACATTAACATTATTACTTTGCAATGCTCTTACTACTAGACATGTTTAACCTTTATTGAAAGTTATTATGGGCCAGCAACATGTATTGCTGTACATCATTTCATCTTCAAAAGTCTCCTGTCATGTCCGTTTAATTACTGAGGAAACAGGAGGGTTAATTAATTTGTTCAAGGTCACACACACAGTGAGTACACATTAACTTTTGCTTCCCTCCTTACATGCTGTGTTGTAGCATATGTGCTAAACGAACCAAGGCAATTCTCGGGGGCAGAGACTGAGGCTTCCACTGTTTTCTGTTTTGGCATTAAAATCCCAGTATAATTCCAGGCTTGCAAGAAATGCCTGGCAGAGAGAAAGAGCAATGAAGGAATGACATGGCCAGGGGATGGTGGCTGATGAAGACTGAACAAACACACAAAAAATATACTTAGCTTTAAGGAAGACTTTTTTCTGAAATTGTGATTGGATTTTGCTAAATATTTTACTAATCATCAAAAGATCATACTTTACAATTTTTAAAGCAAGAATTTTTCATTAAAATCTTTTCTCTCTAGTGACTTCCAAACAAAAAGGTTTTTACAAAACTGTACATGTCCTACTGCTTTAGTATTTGATAATTGGGGAGAAATGCAATTTGGAACAATATTTATAATTTAAAATAGTCATTCCTAGTTCTAATTTCTTGAGAAAAAAGTTAATCTTTATTTTAATGGGAACTTTTAGAGATCATTTTTTAAGTCTCTTAGCAAATTTTCTACTACTTATTATATAAGTTCTTTCTTCCTTAAAAAATAATGCCATGTTCTGGAGATAATGGCTAAGCATAATACAGAGAAACCCCAAATATTACTAAGACACAGTTCGAGGTTCATAGAAAAATTTCAGCTTTACATCTCCTTGTTCAATATTGTTAGTCAAAGAAATACATTGAAATGTTGAGCTTGTTTCAAATTTCCTGTGAAATGTTAAAAATATTTATCTATCTTAAAGTGTTTTGGAGGAATTTCATATGATGGATGATCTGCCATACACCAAATCCATAATCTGATAAGCTATGCGTACATCTAGTAAATTCCAAGAAGAAATAATAGCTAAAAGACTGGAATTTTTATTTCAAATGATATCATCAAACATATTCATTATAAAGCTAACTTTTCTTTAGGTTAACTTGAGAAGGCTTGAAAAATATGAATTTAAGTATTTAACCAGGAGTTTTGGATTGCATGATTGTTTCAGGAGTACCTGGGGATTTTTATTTTTAAGAGTAAGACATAGAAGAATTGGCAAAGTATGAAAACAAGGAAACAACATCATTTTGCTTTTATTATATATCACAATATTATTAGCTCATGGAAGAACCATACATAATTATCTACTAGACATTTGCAAATTATAGAACTCACAATGCTTCATATCCTTTGATACTTTTCTTCCCAGTTTTCTTCAGAGTGCCTAACAACTTTTAATAATTTTTTAAAAAAATTTTAATGAGAGTGAAACAAAATATAACAAAACAGAACAAAGCAGATCAGAAGAAAACAATATAAGTGACACATTTCAAAGCAAGGAAACAGATCAACAGTGGTTACCATAATGTCTCTTGTTTTCTTTAAAATAGTTGTCTATATCTTCACACAATAGCTGTCCATACCTTCATGTAACTTATTCTAAATGTTAAGAAATGAAATACTGGATGCCTTATGTGCATTATTTCTGAATACTAACTTCTTAGAAATTTAAAAAAGCTTGGATAAAAATATGCATTCTAGCATATTAAAGTAGAACAGCAAATACTGGAGTTCATGAATATGAACTCCAGATTTAAAGCATTGTTAGCTTTCTTGAACTATAAAAATACATTTCTCAGTTATTAAACCATTTTGTATCCAATAGATAAAAGCATAATTGTTGTAGTAATATTTACTGATTTATTCATGTTTTACATATTTACATGTGCTCTCTGATCCAATTCTTATTCAAACAGGTCCTTGACCTGTGTTTATTTGCTTTTAAAATATAAAATTTATTTTATTCTTTTTGTATTTATTACCCACTATATTTAAAGTTTTGTTTAAAGTTTTGGAGAGTTCAAATTTTAAATATTTTCCCATTACAATTTTTGAACATGCAGCTATATTTTAATAAACTATTTAGCTCCATTAAATAGTGAAGAGATATTAAAAGGGGAACCAATATCTTTACCACTCTTATAAGAAACCTTCAGTGTCTGTAATCAGTACTGTCACATGTACTTGTGTCTTTTCAGTGCCATGAATCTTCTTAAATGACAGCTTCATTACTGTGGTTCACTGAAATGACTGAGTGGAAACTGTGTCCAGTTTAGTCCATCTCCAGACATGCTGCCTTGACTGTATGTACTGGTCCAAATGGATTTTCTTTGATGCTTTGACAATTACTCTTTTGTTTGGTTTAGAAAAATTTGAAAGCATGAAATTCAAAGTTCAAATTGAAACACAGCATTGAGGCTGTTGTACTCTATAGTGAATCTCTGCATGTTATCCAGAGTCAGCTGCTTTGAGTCTCATTCTGCAGTCTCTCTCACTTCAAGCATATCAGCAGAACCCAGAAGTAAAACTTGTGTTAATGTGCTTTTCCTAGTTGATTAGGAAGTCCACTCTCTATATTTGCTCAAAGGGGTTTTAATCTGAATTTCTTGGTAAAAAAAAACAAAAACAAACAAACAAACAAAAAACAGATGAGAACAAACTCATGGAGGTCTCTTTATTTTCAGTGTTGAATGATATCATTTGAAAGGTGAAACACTCCCCACTGATAAGAAGTAAAGATATTCACACATCGAAATGTGTGAATTTTGAAGTTCAGGCTATGGAAATAAAACTAATACTGGCAAAAGCATTGCACTGGTTTCTTATATATAAGAACCTTTCCAGATCTTATGAAGTGTAGATACTGCAGGTTTTGGAAAGACGTTATCCTATGCAATGTTGTTATACAGGGCTAAGAACAAAAGAGCAAACTAAAAGAAGTTGTTGAAGAAAAATGTTTAAAATTAAGTGCTTCTTTTCTTTACATGGCATTTCTTCTTTTTCTCAGTATTTTGGATTCCCTCAGTAGCTTCTTAATTTCTGCGTTTCTAGATGCGCTCTAAAGCATTTGCCAGAAGGTGGCGGCATAAGTCCTTCTTGCTTAGAGCTGTCCCCGGTGCTGAACTCAGTTTGGGATGTTAAGAGAAGCTCAGAGGGTAGCCAGGAGGGATTCCACCAAGTTCTCCCCAAAGGTTTGCGGATTCTGGTAAGAAATGTAAAGGTTCACAGAAAATTCAGGACTCATATACTACACATAGGCTAAATATTTTCTTCCTTGAATTTACTTTCCATTAAGCTTTGGCAGGTGGCAGTATTGACTGAAATTAAGAGTAGTGGTGACTGAAAAGGGTGTGTGTATGCAGAATGTATGTTGAATTGTCCTCACTCTGACATTCAGCTGTTTAACCACTTTGTCCTTTAACATATCCTTTTATACGCTACTCCAATTCCCAAGGGTCTTTTATTTAATTTTTAAGTCATAGGCAACATCTTCCTCAAGGGAGTCAGGTTGGACTGTTAGGTAATGGATGGGGGTGATTTAAAAAGCTAGTATACACTCCATCTTCTTTCCATCAATTAACACTAATTGGTGGACTGACCCAGAGCTGTCCACGTTCCCGTTCAGACTCCATGCGTGTTTCTTTTCTGCTTTGCTATCGCCAGTCTGAAATGCTGACTCTAAGAATTTGACAGAAATGCAAGGCAATGGGTCCTTAGAAACGTTATGTTTTTTCCCTCCTTCCAGTTTGGCTGGGTGGGAGGCGGAGTTTATTTGTTACAACGTTGGTCTGATCAGCAGATCGGGTATGTGTAGGCGAATTCTGAATCTCGGTCCACAAAAAGGGATTTGAATGCAAAGATGCTGGGCTAGAAGGAGAGGAGGGCGGGGACCGAGGGGAAAGATACACTCAAGGTTGGGGAAGAGTTAGGAGGGGAGGGTTAAGGCTGGAGGGAGGGAGACCATCGGAGCAATGCGCAGAAGGATACAGACAGGAGGTAAGAAGCAAGGAGAGACTGAAAGTAGAGGCTAACGGGATGGAGCCGAGAGGAGGAGTCTGAAGAGAAAGAGAAGACAGTGAGAGACAGAGAAGAAAAGAAGGAAGCGGGAGAAAGGGGTCACAGAGTGAGCGTGGAGGATGAGATTTCTCTATGCTGGCTAATTCTGGAACTGGAGACTGTTTGCTTCAGCAGCGGGTTGGACAGCAGCAAAGTAACATGGAAAGCAGGAGACACATCTCCCAGCTACCTCTTCGACACCCAGAGATCCGGGAGGTGCTCTCAGGTCAACTTCGGTTTTCCAGCTGGAGTCTCTGAGCATCCTGTATCGAGGGAGGCTCGGAGCGTCTTGAAGCTACTCCTCTGAGATGCTCACGCCGCAGCAGTAAGAACTTCCTGCTCGAGTTCCCACAGCTCCTTCCTCTGAAACTCTCCGGAGTGAGCCGGAAGACCCCAGGGGGAGGGGCGAGGAAGATTCTCCCCCAGCTCTTTCTCTCCTCCCTCGTCTGCCCCACCCCTCCGGGCTCTCGGACAGGCATGGATGTGCTCAGCCTTGGCCAGGGCAACAACACCACGTCCCAAGGACCCTTTGGGACAGGAGCCAACATTACTGGAATCTCTGACGTGACCTTCAGCTACCAAGTGATCACCTCTCTGCTGCTAGGCACCCTCATTTTCTGCGCGGTGCTGGGCAATGCGTGCGTGGTAGCTGCCATCGCCCTGGAGCGCTCCCTCCAGAATGTGGCCAACTATCTTATCGGTTCCTTGGCGGTTACTGACCTCATGGTGTCAGTGCTGGTGCTGCCCATGGCAGCGCTGTACCAGGTGCTCAACAAGTGGACTCTGGGCCAGGTTACCTGCGACCTATTTATCGCTTTGGACGTGCTGTGCTGCACCTCGTCCATCCTGCACTTGTGCGCCATCGCTCTGGACAGGTACTGGGCCATCACGGACCCCATCGACTACGTGAACAAGAGGACGCCCCGGCGCGCCGCTGCGCTCATCTCGCTCACTTGGCTCATTGGCTTCCTCATCTCCATCCCGCCCATGCTGGGCTGGCGCACCCCCGAAGACCGCTCGGACCCCAACGCGTGCACCATCAGCAAAGACCATGGCTACACTATCTACTCCACTTTCGGCGCTTTCTACATCCCTCTGCTGCTCATGTTGGTTCTTTACGGGCGCATTTTCCGAGCCGCGCGTTTCCGCATTCGCAAGACGGTCAAGAAGGTGGAGAAGAAGGGAGCAGACACCCGCCTCGGAACCCCGCCGGCTCCACAATCCAGGAAGAACGCGAACGGGCAGCCAGGCGACAGAGACTGGGGGCGGGGCGTGGAGGACAAGGCGACGGGGGCTCCGTGCGCCAACGGCGCTGTGAGGCAGGGCGACGACGGCGCCAGCCTGGAGGTGATCGAGGTGCACCGGGTGGGCAACTCCAAAGAGCACCTGCCTTTACCCAGCGAGGTCGGTGCTGCCCCCGGCGTCCCCGCCTCCTTCGAAAGGAAAAATGAGCGAAACGCCGAGGTGAAGCGCAAGATGGCTCTAGCCCGCGAGAGGAAGACAGTGAAGACGCTGGGCATCATCATGGGCACCTTCATCCTCTGCTGGCTGCCCTTTTTCATCGTGGCCCTGGTCCTGCCCTTTTGTGAGAGCAGCTGCCACATGCCCACTCTGTTGGGTGCCATAATCAACTGGCTGGGCTACTCCAACTCTCTGCTAAACCCCGTCATTTATGCCTACTTCAACAAAGACTTTCAAAACGCGTTTAAGAAGATCATCAAGTGCAAGTTCTGCCGCCGATGATGTCAATGATGAAGAGTCGGAGAGTGAGGCTACCGGACCGCTCCATCCGCTATGTCTTCCTCAGCACCCTGGAATCCACACCTGTATCAGCTTGCTTTCCCTGACTTGTTTCAGCTTCCGCGCGCCCTGGATTTTCGAACTTCGTCTCCTCCTCCCTGCGGGCCAGAGCCGGGCGCCCAGTGTGGGGGTCTCCAGCTGTGCAGCGCGAGCACCCAGGAGTTCCCGGTCGGTGAGCAGTGACAGTGTCTCGGATTTTGACCTGCGCACCGGTTTTGATACCACTAATCATCTCCTTTCCTTCCATCCCCAAATTTTTGCGGTGGAAGTTCAAGCCTCAGCCTTTCAAGGCAGAAAATCCACAAAGGAAAAATAAAAGAATGCACACAGCCGCTGCGCCCGCCCACTAACGGCTTCCAGCTGCCTGCACCACTTCTGCAACTTGGGCTTTGAGGTTTAGGATACTGCTGTTTCTGTTGCGCTTTTATCTTAGAAGCCACACTTTTCTCCGGTCTCGTCGCTTCTTTCCCTTCCCTGCTTGCCTCGGCTCTCCCTGACCCTAAGCACTCACCGCTGTCCTGGGCAAGAGGTAGGGCTTGCTTTCCCCCAGGCCAGCGGCTACTCTGTAACCCTTCTGCGCGCAGTTGGGCTCGCCACGCGTTTTCTAGGACTCAGAACTAGTGACTGGAAGGTGCCTCTTAGAGTGGACTCGTAAGTACAAAGCCGGGCCACTTGGGCAGAGCAAGGAGGGAGAACAGTACTTTTCGTTCGTGCTTGCCTTGGCGTCAGCACCCACCAAAGACACGGGGAATCCGGCCACGGTGGACTTCTGTTGGTCTAGGTCGCGCGAGGGCCAGTCTTCACTTCCCGGCGTTGCGGCTTAGCCACTGCGGGAGGCGCCAGCCGGCCGCGGCGGGGCCCTGGGACTGAAGCCTGAGACCTGGGCGGTCGCTCACCTGTGCTCTGCGGCCGGCCTGAGAGTCCAGGGCCGGGGTCTTCGCAAGCTCTGGGACCCGTGAGGCGCGGGAAGTCAAATTAGGGTTTCTCAAAGCAGGGGACACGAGGTCCTGCAAGCTCCTGGTAACTGGGAGACGAAGAAGCCATGGGGACGGAGAGGGGAGGCCAAGCGGAAAGACTGTAGCTGCTCTTCTCCAGGAACCTGGGAGGACAGTTTTATGCATGGGATGCAGACTTTCCACTCACTTTTAGTTCCTTCCCAGTTTGCGGATAGGTTTGTTTGGTGTTGTCCTGACACTGCCTGGATTTGTTCGGCAGGCAGGCGTCCAGGACACAAAGGGCAGAACTTTCTTTTCCAAGTAAGGATTGTGACCTTCCGTGGAATGGCTCCCATCCTGCTGGCACTTTCTGTGAGCTCAGAGGCTGAGACCTTCAATAATGGGGTCCCAAAGGGCTAGACAGGTGCCTGCTGTCTTTCACAAGGGTCTCTGAAAATCTTGTAGGGAGTAATATTTATTCCCTGATCTGGAGGTTCTGTCCCCCGATCTCCTCCAGGTGTCCACGGGGAAACCAGCTTTGTGTCCTTTGAATTCATGGAACACCCCGAGCTTTCCATCCCTCAAAAGTTACTCTTTCAGAGTCATTATTCCTGCTGCGTTAGTATAATCTTTGCTGTGCCCAGAAAGGGAAGTTGTTTTGGTGCTTGCTTTGAATGTAAATCCCCAACCATGTGAAGGGAGATCAAGAGATTTGTTATAGTTAAATGTCCTTTAATTTTCTGATAAGTAGTGGTTTTATTCTCCAGTAATTACACAATTATTGAATCTTACTCCTGTCTCCGTTCAACCACGCCTTTCTAATGTTTGCATTTGTTGTTTTGAGAACCCTGTTACATTTTTATAGATTGCAAAATTGCTGGTAAAATAGCAACTTATGTTTAAAAACAAGAAGGTGAAAGGGCAGCTTTAGCACTTGAAGCCATTGTATTGTTTTTCAAACTTAACATTTTGATGCCTTTTTCTCCTTTAAATAAAAGTTAGAAACTTTCAGGGTGGCTTGACTATGCACATGTAATGATGATGGGGGGGGGTCTGATAGCAAAGAGAAGGTAGACTTCTGTGCAACCATTATTTGTTTAAAAACTCAATTTCTTCTTTCTTTAAATTATCTAAAGCAAAAGTGTATGAAAAATGAACTCTCCTGTATGTTTCACTGAATTTTCAGAACAAATTCTACATTTAAATTGATTCAAATCCAAAATTTGCTCCTCCAAATTATGCTTTGGCCAGAAAATATTGCATTTGAAATATTGAGACTTCTATTTATTTGTGTCTTTTACAGGATTGTATGGCCATAATTTTGGAGCATTTGTTCCTGCTTTGGAAGTTTTACACAAGAATGGAGAAGGAATATTCAAATGGATTGTAATTGCCAATCAATAGTGAAATTAGAGAAATAAGTGCAAAAGAGCTATATGGCTCTAAAGATCCCTGATGCTTTTTTCTTTTAGAACACTTGTATTAAGGTAAAGTATTTATGCACCAAAGTTGACCTTCACTTTTCCCTGTAACAATAATGGACTTTATTAATGGCGATGCTACAATAAACTGGTACCAGTAACATATGTATCTTAGTTTAATCAGAACCTGTCTACTTGGTGTTCCTTCAAGAACTTTAAAATTGAAGGTAAAAGTGCAGTTATCAGGAGAAGATCCTGCTACAAGGGTAAAGGATTTGACACATAGAGAAATATTTAGTTTTCAACACCAAAATTCATTCTATATTTTAAAATTCTGTTTCTGGAAAGAGAATGTCACATCTCCTGGGGTAGGCACAAAACATGCATTTTCCCTGGTTGGTATCTGCAGATAAACTTTAGACATCTGTTTAATTAATCTGACAGGATGGGGAACATATAGAAGAGAAATACAACCTCTAATAGAAGCAAAAGGGGCCTATCGTGTATTTTTTTCCTCTGTCTTCCCTATAACACATAACTAGGAGAAAATTACTTCCTCTGGTTTCAAAAGAAATAGCTTATTCTTTGGGGGACTGTCACCTTAAGTAAAGGAGAGGGCATTTTCTTTTTTGACTAGATCTTATTTGATGGTGAAGTTCCAAAATTTAAGATTTATTAGTATGTTAAAAATAATACATTTGCTTTTCTATTTTTCCCTACTAGGACCATCAATAACATCTCTTGTTTCTACTGTTATATTTGTTTATCTTACTGTTTTCTGGTGTCAGGCTGATTTCTGCAGAGTAAGGAAAAGCCTGTTAAATTTCAAGGATAAATGAAGGTCAAGGCTATTATGCCCACAGCAGAGAGCACTCAAAAACTGCATGAAGCCTGGTTCAGGCAATGTGTCTATATGCACACATTGTCCCACTAATGTTCAGAAAAATCACAGGAATTGAGAGAATGAGAACTGTCTGGATTTCTCATCTGAAAATTTTATATAAGTTCATCTCTGACTGAGAGTAAAATGTTCAGTGTGGCACATTTGTGTTTGGAATTTTAAATACTCCTTTGTTGACACTTGTTCTTTCATTTAGGCTCTTCCTCACAGAAACATTGGCCTTCTGTTTTCTACAGGCCTTATTGAGACCACAACTAAGAGGGGATTTGCTAAAATCACTTTAAGTGTGACTAACCCTTTAGCATTGATCAAGTGGTGACTGCTACTGATAATGTTGAAATATGGGACTGCAAACTCATATAAACTGTTTGCATGAAGGAATTTTCAATGTGTTTGTGTATGTAGGAATAAATGTAAGGCTAAGGCTGAGTAACTGTTCATGGTAGTCTAGAAGTGGCATAAGCAAGATGAATCATAGGCGTTTGGCTCTATAATCTTTCAGAAGATAGAGATTAGTGTGGATTAGGTGAATAGGGCAAGGAAGGCAGGGAAGGCTGTATGAAGAATCCAGGATTGAGTTCTGGGCAGGAAGGTATGATGTGAAAAGATATCTTTTAAGAGGTGATAAAAGACCTTCTTCCTTGTAAAAGGTGAACTGGGATTTAATGTCTGTCTGGATTGGTACATATTGATTGGCAGTCAGAGCTGAATATGAGGTGATGATCAGGAAGAAAGATGCGAGCTTGAAACCTCTTATGTGTTGGGTCAACTTTGAGGATCTGGGATGGGAGGGGAGAGAGAGAGAGAGAGAGAGAAAGAGAGAGAGAGAGAAAGAGAGAGAGAGAGACAGAGAGAGAGAGAGAGAGACAGAGAGACAGAGAGAGACAGAGAGACAGAGAGACAGAGAGACAGAGACAGAGAGAGAATCTTAAGCCAAAAAGTGATAGAGTGAGCACTGGAGAAACTGGATAAGAGAAAGTGTTCTAACCAAGTTAGAGCAGGAAACAAGACACCAGACATAGGTACAAGACAAAGTAATTCACTCTTATATAATACTTGAGATTTTGCCGTGTAATTTTCAAACATAATGTACCATTTAAATTTGAGCTAGTAGATTCTTTCAGAAATGTCAGTTAGGGATTTTTAGCTAAACCAGAAGATTTACACCGTAGTAAATACAGGAAAAGAAGCTAAGGATCAGAGGTGGAGCCACTCAGATACCACATTGTATCTTTAGTTAGCAGGACTACTAATAAGGAAAGCAGAAGCAATCTGGAGGTAATTTCAGTGATATGTGTGTGACGCAATAAAGGACCAAATGTGGGAGACTGGCAGAAGAAATAAAAATGAATACAGCCAAAAATACATTAAAAGAAACCTGGCTGGACTTGGTTTCTGCTTGTGAAGAGAGAGGAAGATGAAGAGCCTTAGATCTGTGCCAGAGAGATTTCGGTGAATGAAAGAGAAGAAAAAATGAGGGGTTGTTTCCTATGGTCTTTCCTTTTATAGCGTCATCTGTAAATGTGAAAGTGCTTTATCCTCTGTGAAAAGAAAATCCAGCCCAGATGGCAAGGCCCTGCTGGGGAAGATATTGATTCATGACACAGCGCTTGAGCAATCTGCCATTTCGGTGAGTGTGTGTGAAGAAAGCTACTATGCAGAGCAGTGGTTGGATCAATTCCCTGATTATTTTGTAACAGTTTTTCCCTGTTAGAACACGCTAGCCATTTTTTGAAGTCACAATCCCAAAAGACACAAGCCTTTCAGCAATAAGAGCCCCAAAGTACTATATTACGTACACAGTATGTGAAGAATGACATCGGATGCTTAAAAGTTGGGTCTGTCCAGTTGGCCAAGAGGACAGCAGAGTGAACCAGTTTGTTTTTAAAGTCAACTGATCAAAGACCACAGTGGGACTATTTGATCCTTACACAACCTACTCCTGGAAAGTCTAGACCCATGACTTTGGGCTGCTATAACGAAATACCATAAATGGGATAGTTTATGAGAGTGCACCTAGTACTAGAGAACTGAAAGTCCAAGGCACCAGCTGGTATGGTACTTGGTGAATGCTTGCTTTCTGGTTCCTAGATGAACATCATTATCCCATAGTCTCACATAGCAGAAGGGACAGGGGAACTCTCTGTGGCTTCTTTCATGAGGGTTGTAATCCCATTCATAAAGGCTTTGTCCTCATGAGCTCATCATCTATAAAAGCCCTGCACCTCACCTAATATCATCACCTGCATGATTAAGCTTCAACATTTGAAGTTTGGGGTGCACAAACATTCAGACCACAGCCATGATATGAAGGTGTTCAGCATATTCCTTCTACTTTCCAACTTTCTTTGCTTATGTGACAATGGCAAGAATGGGTATATAAATTAATGAATATTTCAATATCCAGTGTTACCACAGACATTTCAACAACATTTGTGTGTAATCTTAGGCAAATTACCAGCCTTTTAGGAAGTACCTCTAGAAAGGATTTCAAGGTTCTGTTTTGTACCTCTAAGTAGCTGTTCTATCCTATCTAGGCTGGTTTTATTCTTGGCGACAGAAACAACAATAACAGCAAAATACACACAAATCAACACAAAGCAAAACAAAAACAAAAACAAAAACAAAAATCTGAGCTGACTAGGGGCAGAAAGGAAAGGAAAAGAAGAAGAATACAGTGAGACCTATCGATCTTGATATATAGCTATGGAAATTGGCAGGCAGTTGTTTTGAAACTTCTCCAACATCTTGAGAGGGGAAACATCCTATGAAATGTGTTGTACTTTCTAGTCTCTGAAAATAGTTAATTTGACTGACTGCAAGAACCAAAGAAGACAGGAAATATGTAATCTGAGTTTTGCCTAAAAAAGATGTAAGATGCTAACTGCAAATATGTACCAAAAGTACAGTTTGCTGTATTTGCTATAAGTATTTACAAAAGAGAAGGGAGTGGTTTGACTCAGAAGTATTGGAAAAGTGATCCATTCATTCTTTCAGCTAGTAGTTATCAAACATCTATAGGAAAGAAACTATTTTACATCCTCTGCTTACAGCAATGACACATCAGATGAAGCTTTTCTTGTACATTATTTGCAAAATAAATGGCTATTATGATTCCCTTGTATGTGTCCACATCTTTTGCAATGTGATTTTCAGTTTCTTCTCTTAAAACTTAGAGGTTGTTTTTTATACCCTGAGGCTGAGCTGATTTGTGACTTGCCTTGGGGAAGCACTGATGTGATACCAGTTCTGATCATGGAACTCAAGGGCTTGCATTTTTCCCTTTGGTCCTTTAGAACTGTGAACAAGGTTGTGTTCACTCGTTGAAGGCTGAGAAGCCAGATAGAGCAGGAGTATCCTCTCTGAGATCATCTTGGATCAGATACATTCCAGTTGTCTGAGAAGCTGACTTGAGACACAAGTGGCAGCACAGCCAAGATCAGAAGAATCTTCCAGGTTCATTTAATTCAAATTGAAAACTAAATAAGTGGTTGTTATTATAAACCACTAAGAGATTTGGCATACTAAGAGAACTAGTAAGTACAGTCTCACATCTTAAGAAGTTTATAGTCAAGAGAAGAGAGAGAAAACAACAAAACAAACTAGATGGACAGATAAGAGGTGACAGTCTGGTAAAGGATTTAACTGTATTAAATATATATAGGTGTGATGAGATGGAGAAAAAGTAGATCACTGTATTTTGTAGGTGTTCTAGGGGAAAACTTGAAAAAAGTATCAAAGGCATAAATTTGAGGCTTTGGAAAATAATTACTGCAGTAAATAAATGCTATGAAATCTTATGCAACTTACTGTGAAAACTACAAAGGGTTAGTTTCCAATAGAAAAACCCAAGAAATTGAAGAGTTGGTTATTTGCATACTTAAATTTTAGAAGTTTACCATTTCCCAATAAAATGCTTATTTGTTTTTTAGATTTAATAAGCAAATTCAGTAATGTATCTAGTTACAAAGTCAACATTCAAAAATCAATAATCTTGTACACAATTAAAAAACTCACTGAGGCAGAAATCAGGGAAACAATACCTTTTACAATAGCATTCAAAAAAATGAAATACCTAGGAATTGATCTAATGAGTGATGTAATAGATCTCTACATTGAAAACTATAGTACTCTGAAAAAGGAGATTGAAGAGGGTATTAGAAAATGGAGAGACATCTGGTGCTCTTGGGTAGAAAAAACAAATATAGTGAAAAGGTCTGTACTTCCAAAGTTGTTGTACAGATTCACTGCAATCCCACTCTAA